CCAGACTGCCCACACACGTCTGTTCGTTGCATATGTGAAACAGACTGGTGTGGAGGTTGCTCCTTGTCCCTCACCGATTCAGCAGGTTTTGGACCGGTATCCAGACCTGATGCAGGAGCCTAGTGGACTTGTCCATAGGCAGACCCAACACAGGATTGAGCTCCTGCCAGGTGCGGTCCCTCCCAAGGGCCGTGTCTACAGGATGTCACCTGCTGAACTCGATGAGCTCAGGAGACAGCTTGAGACCCTGACCAGCAAAGGCTGGATCAGACCCAGCACATCTGAATTTGGGGCTGCAGTTCTGTTTGTTCCAAAGGGAAATGGAGAGTTCAGAATGTGTGTGGACTACAGGGGTCTCAACAAGATCACTAGGAAGTCTACAGAGCCCCTTCCTAGGATTGATGATTTGCTGGACATGGTGCAGGGTTGCACAATCTTCAGCAAGATCGACCTCAAATCTGGCTACCACCAGATTGAGATGGCTGAAGGCGATGTGCACAAGACTGCCTTCAAGACCAGATATGGCACTTATGAGTACCTGGTCATGCCCTTCGGTCTTTGCAATGCCCCTGGCACGTTCCAGACAGAGATGCATCGCATACTCAGGCCTTACCTAGACAGGTTTGTAGTTGTGTACCTGGATGATATCCTGGTATTTAGTCGATCTGTCGAGGAGCATGCGCAGCATTTGGCTCTAGTTCTCCAGGCACTACATGAGGCCCAGTATAAGATCAACAGGGAAAAGTCCTCCTTTGGAATCTGGGACATGTAATCTCTGGGGAAGCGTTGGCTCCTGAAGCGCCTAAGATTGCAGCGATTCAGGACTGGCCACAGCCTACCACAGTTCGTGATGTCCGGTCATTCTTGGGCCTGGCATCATACTACAGGAAGTTCGTCAAGAACTTCTCTGCTATTGCTGCACCCCTGACTGATCTCACAAAGAAAGACACCCACTTTCTTTGGACATCAGACTGTCAGCAGGCTTTTACACGCCTCAAGGAGGCCTTGATGCGTGCACCTGTTCTGAAGCTACCTGACCTACCTTGCCTTTCGTACTAACTACAGATGCTAGTCAGTATGGGGTTGGGGCGGTACTTCAGCAGGATGGTGGGCATGGTCTGCAGCCAGTTGAGTATATGAGTAAGAAGATCAAGGTCAAGAAGCTGCGGGATTCCACGTACGAGAAAAAGTTGTATGCTCTCGTGTCAACGCTGAAGCATTGGAAGCATTTCCTCATGGGCCGACATTTTCAGATCTTTTATGATCACTCCACCTTGCAGTGGATGAAGACCCAGGGGGAACTGAATGACAAGCTCGCGCGCTACATTCAGTTCATTGATCTCTTTGACTTTGAGCTGAAACACAAGAAGGGCTGCTACAATCGTGTAGCAGATGCCCTTTCTCGTAGGCCTGACGCTGTCTGCATGATCTCCTCCACTCATACCTTTGGGGAGAGTACCCGTCAGACCATTGCCCAGTTATTGCCACAAGACCCGACTTTTGGCCCGATCGTTAGGAATCTGCAGACTGATCCTGCCTCTGAACCAGGATATATTCTAGTTTCAGATCTGCTGTACACGTGCAGCAGAGGAGAGGAGCGTCTGTGCATCCCTCAGGACCGCCTGCTGAGAACACTCATGATGTCTGAGTGTCATGACGCTCGCGGCCATTTTGAAGTCGTTGGCTGCCCTGTCGCAGCGGTTCTTCTGGCCAGAGATGAGGAAAGACATGTTGCACTATGTTGAAACCTGTGAGCTATGCCAAAGGAATAAGGTCGTTCGTCGGCCTCCCCTTGGCCTACTACAGCCACTTCCCATCCCTGAAGCACCTGCACAGTCAGTGTCTATTGATTTCACTGATCTGGGGAGGACTACTCCTCATGGTATGTGTCAGGTTATGGTGTGTGTTGACAGGTTTTCTAAGTATGCAGAGTTTATTCCTCTGCCAGAGGAAGCCAGAGTCCCGGCCGTACGAGCGGCCTTTGCTGACAGGTGGGTCACTCACCATGGACCACCCACCTCTATTGTCAGTGATAGAGATCCACGGTTCTTCAACAATGAATGGCAGTCCTACTGCAAGGACTACCTTCATTCTAGGCTGAACATGACATCTGGTCATCATCCTGAAGCCAATGGGCAGGCTGAAGTGATGAACCAAATTTTGTTTCAGTTGCTGCGTCCTGTGATCAGCCCTGATCAGCAGGATTGGGATCTCCATCTAGGACGGGCACAGCTAGTGTACAACACGTCTGTACACTCCTCCACAGGGTTCACCCCTTACCGGTTGCATTGGGGGTGTGAGCCATGGCAGCCTCTCGATGACATCATCGACAAGGCTACCCCCAGGTTGACTCCTGGGACTGCAGAGTTCACCAGACAGTACTGAGGGATATCGAACGAGCCAGAGTTAACCTGCTCAAAGCCCAAAAGGCAATGATTCAGCAGGCTAACAAGCATCGTCGACCATCCCCCATTCGCGCTGGTGACTGGGTCTGGGTACTCAGTTCTGAGCTATCGCGGGAGGAGGACATCTCGCCTAAGCTGCTGCCGCGCTATATGGGTCCATGGCAGGTTTTGGATACAGTGGGGGATGAACCCTTCGGGCCATCCTATCACGTAGATGTCCCACTGCATCTACAAACCTACCCTGTCTTCCATGCATCCAAGCTGTTGCCTTTTACACCGGCTGATGCATTTCCAGACAGGCCTCCACAGTTCAGTCCCCCAATCCCTGGGAAGGGATGTGAGGTGGAAGAAGTTGTGGATGAGTACGGTACACGCCTGGATAAGGAGTACCTCGTGAAGTTTCTTTACCAGCCCCATACTGAGGATCGCTGGTTCACTCGCAAGGAGCTCCTGAAAACAGCAAAGTCTGTGATCCTCAAATATGAGGCTGCGCAGAAGGTAGAGCCCCTTCGACGCTCTGCACGCCTACGCCCCTAGCTCGGAGGTCCGCACTCCGGGGGAGGGTAGGTCTGCAATGACTTGCTGTTTTCATGCTGCCTGTAGCCTCACTCTGACGAGGCGGTACTCTAGGTAGGGGTAGATTCGTAATTTTGTTGGGCTGAGGGCTAACCGAGAGACCTGCCTGTGTGGGAAATTCGTGAGGGACATATTTGTAAATATAGAAACATGGCCCTGTACTAATCCGACTTTCCTAACAGCGACCCTAACTGCGAATA